CCCCCTTGAAAATAACATGCACTCCATGTTTGAATCACTCCAAACAAGACCAAACACTTGAAACACAGGCTACTTTGAAAAGAATAACCTGAAATGTTTTCTGTGGGCAGTGTCATGTTAATATCATTTATACTATTATAATATGTATCAATTTCTTGAATGGGTTTTTATTTGCATATTTTCAGTATTCATTTTTAATTGACTTTTTAGTCATTTAATTGTGTGCCTTTTTCGTATATATTTCTTATATTTATTTTAAATTTAAATTGATTTCTATATTTTATCAGTTGTTTTTCGTAATCATAAAGTTAGCTGTAATCTGGTAAATGAATGTGAGTACAGTCCAGTTAATCAGTTTGTGTGTGTACAGTTTATTTCCAGCAGGCCGACCTCCTCAGACACTCAGTACTCAGCTCACCTGGGCAGCAGGAGCAGCAGCTTCTCCTCTCGTGTCAGACCCGTCCCCGACCACCACCCCGTTTCTCTCCACTACTCGTCCCCGCCACAGTCATCCTATCTCGCCTCTGAAGGACCCATGTCACCGGTTTACAACATGCCCTACAGTTCTGTGCACCGCAACGGCCCCGTTCAACGAATCGAGAAGGCACCACTAGTCAAGGTAACAGAATATTCCCCACCAGATGTCCAGCTTAATGTTTAGTTCTATTTTTTGTTCTTCAAAAAACAGTGATATTTGCATTGCAAATTTGAATTATTTGCTTACAATTTCAGAAAAGGAATGCATAAAAACATGCGTAACTTTTTCATCTGTCTTTGTTCAGTCAAACAGCTGGAGCACGCCACAGACAAACGTCAAACACCAGCTCTTTGTTCCTCATCGCCACTCGGACTTGGTCTCCCACCGCAAGCCTCTCTCGCCCCTTTATGACGACCCCAGCACCCCCAGTATGTACCCTCTGGAGGAGAGCTCTGCACAAGCGTCGGTAAGTGGGTCAGGTTATCAGATCCGCTCTCTCACTTGACACCGCTGCCTTCGGTGACCAAACACCCAGAGTCGTTGATTTGACGAGCTAAAGCCATGGAAAGTCCCCATAGCCTACATTACTAATTAATCCATTCAGATGCATAATGGAAAAGGCTGCTGAGCGAACAAGACAAAGTGTTATCCTTCGAAAGAATCAAGTTTGAGACAATATTTCTACACAGAATACAGGTTTACACTTGTCGGGTTTCTTTCAACACAGGTTTAGGTCTAAATCCTTTAATCAGCTGACTACATCAGGTTTAATTCACTATGCTATCTTCTAAATCTCATAAAGCGCCTGTTTTTCTGCTATACAGCACTCTTCTCGGGGCTCTGTTGAGCAGTCGTACCCTCCTCTCCTCCCTTCCTCCTTCCGGTTGTGCACCCCTCCTCTTGGGCGGAAAAACAGACATGGCCAGGCCCTGGAGCCTGAGGTGGTCAGCAGCCAGTGGTCGGATGAGCTGCGAGCCCAGGCCGTTTCCAGACTGAAGATGCTGCCCGCTCCAAACCGACAGCCACAACACAACCACATCTCTCAGGTAATAGGACAGTAGTAGATTTCCTTTCAAGACTTTCATTCTTTTAATATTGCATTTTTCATTGTACACTACCGTCGGAGTCGATAAGATGGCTGGATTCATTTGATCAAAAACACAAAATCACTTCAGAAATCATTTTATGCTGATTTGGTTCCCAAGAAACATTTCTAATTATTATCAATGTTGAAAACAGTTGTGCTGCCTAATATTTGTGTGGAAACTGTGATACAATTTTTCAGGATTCTTTGATAATTATGGTAGGAAGTTTGAAAGAACAGCATTTATTTGAAATAGAAATCTTTTGTAACATTGTAAATGTCTTTAGTATCACTTTCTGTCAATGTTGTGTCCTCGCCGAATAAAAGTATTAATTTCTTTCCCAAAAAAAATCTTACTGACCTCAAAAAAATCTAGAAATATTTTTGTAAATTTATGTAGCCTCAAAATGGTACGAAAATGATCTCCTATTCTTTGTTTTTTTTTTACAGAGAGGTTTCTCAGGTCACACTGTCATGGAAGCGCAGAAGATATCTTACTGTTACTCACCAGGTAAGAATTTTTGGCATGCAAAACTTAGGAGGCAGTAACAGTTCCACAATAGTGCACTGATAGGCATGTTTCACGGACGTATATACGGAACTAGATATGCAAGATATGCACAGCAATTTGCATCACCAGTTTTGTGACAACAAGTTTTGTTTAGCGTGTCAAATGTTGACCTAGATCATAAGTATTTTTTAGAGGCTGGTTAAAATAATCCAAATGAATTTTGTTTAATCGTTTCATGAGGTCACACCATAAACACTCTCACTTGTCAGGATTAAACACACCATAGGGAGAAAATAATCCATGGTGACACGTGCAGTATACCAGACTCTCACGGCACAGCTAATAGGATGGTTTTAGAATGACCTTTTCCAGCACACACACACACACCGTTTGATGGGGTGTGGTGGTCCAGGCAGGACATGGCAGTGGAAACAAGAGTGCAGATGAAGGGGTGTGTGTGTGTGTGTGTGTGTGTGTGTAACATGGCTCAGGGTATTTTAAATGACAGCACTGCAGGTGGCACATGAAGGAAAGACCAGCGAAAGGACAGAATTACCACCGAGAGTGATTTAAAGCTCACAAGTGGGAGATCCTTCAAGACATCTCAGAGCCTCTCTGTGAAAAGAACACAACAAACGACACGTTAGATCTTAAATTAGGACATTAAGTATTTAGATGGCTCAGTTTACTGACTTCTAAACCTTGGCATGTGGATTTTGATTTAAATACAACTTTCTTTACATATTGCAACGACATCTCTTCTATTCTCGCATGAAATGAGATCACAGCAACAGCAAACTACAATGATCCAATCAATTCCCGATTAACAAAATCTGTCCTGACCTAAATTTTTTCTTGTTCGAGAAGCCGTTTCACTTGGATATACATCACAATAGGGAAGAAAAGACTATCGCAACTTTCATGCCGACTTTGAAGTTGTGATATACACTTAAAATTCTAAACATTCATGGAAAAATCATTGATATTTCTATAGTGAATATGAATGGCTGCTTTTCTTGGTATGCTGATGCTCAGTTCTAAATTATTTTATTGGCTAGAAATTTCAGTTTGTAATCTATTATTCAAAATTGTGGGAACTCTTATTCATTAAAATATTTTAAGATTTAATTTTTTTTTTTAAAAATCATATTTTTTGTCTCGTCACAGATGACTCTTACCTTCAGCCAGTGGAGCCAGATGACCAGGAAATGGACTATGATAACATATGGGAGTTTGACCGGGATAATAGGATGATTCAGGCCCTGCCTGGAACTTCACCACACCGGACACTGGCTTACTTTGGAGCTCAAGGCCTGGGCGCTATGACAACACAGCAGAGATGGTCATAAAAGAGAACAATGGGCTTATGCCCGTCCAGACTTGCACACATTGCAGACTAATCAAAGCCACACATGCACAATGGGCATGTCTTTACCAGGGGCCGGCATGCCCGAGTATCAGGATATTCACAGTTTGTTTATTCAATGGCTCAATGACATATTTTTGCACATGTAATATCCTTTAAATCTGTGGTGATGGTTTCACACTGCTGTATGCATTCGGTACGAACAAGTGTGATGCGTTTATGTATATATTAATATAAGAAAAAAATACTACATTTTTTAAAAGTTAGTGTTTATGTATATATGAATATAAGAAAAAAATACTCATCTTTTTTCAAAGGTAGCATTTGTGAGTTTTTGCATTTAGTTTAGTTTGTATCCTTTGTGAGTCCTACAAACTACAGGAAATTGTTGGTATATGGATATGTTTAAATACCAAATGTAAATATATTCCTTTTTCTATTTAAGTAAATTTAAGTTTTTATTATTATTATTATTATATTTATACTTCTTTTTTTATGGCTTTCTACTATCTGTTCAAAATATGTATTTGTTGTGTGGAGGTCAAAGTTATTCATTTAAAGAAAAAGTTTTGTACTTTTTTTTATTGTTTATGACAAATAAACAGCTGTAACACTGCTTTAGCTGTCCACTTTAAATGTGCGGTTTATATATATATATATATATATATTACATTTTTGAGTGATTTAAATTAAAAAAAATATTTTAAAATAAAACAAGTTCTCTGAACTCCTTTACTCTGTCATGTTGTGTAGTACATTTAATTTAGTATGGCTAAACATTGACAGTGTGTTGGAAATTATGAATAGGTCTCTGTTAGCATGGCCTTTATTGTGATCTCAAAGACTATGGGAAGGGACTTTGGTGACCTTTACCTCAGGGTTCTGGTGCCATCTGCTGGTAACATCTAGAAGTACAACCTAAATGTCTCAATCTTGCACATTTCCTTAACTTTCTCCAGAACTGTTTGAACACATCTCGGTTTCTGCTGCACAAAAACTGTAATGCATGTTAATTCCCCTCAGTTATAACAAATTTAATATTTATCAGGTTTCCTGGCACAATCATAGTACAATTGTTTGTTCATCCCCCTCTTGTGGCCAAAATAAGTATTACTAGTAACACACAAGTGTACTGACAATGCTTTCAAATAAATATATTTATTTGGGGTACAACAGACAGAAAATACATTTCCTACATTTCATTTAAAATGGGGAGCACCATATAAATGACATTTGAACAAATCAAACTTTTCAGATCTGAAGTGATGTCCTCACATGGGCATGTGATTTAGTTTTTATATGGTCTATAAATATACCAAAATAATTTGGCACAGAAAAATTCCAGTATCTCAGTCAGTAGTATCAAACTATATTAACTGATTGTCCATAGACATTTGCTCTTCCATTGAAAACTCTCCACTGGTACACACTTCCATAAGCATCTCAATATCAACATTAATCAATATATACCGCAGCTCTCATAACAACAGCATTCACTGCAAACAGTGAATCCACAATATCTCTCAAAAAAGAGCTCATTAACAATCAACATTCCTTTTTTAAATATTGGATATGCAGATTACTGATATGTTCATACACTAAATATACATATTATAAACACTACTGCCACTGGTCTGAAGTCACAGTCATCTGTGTAAGCTTATCAACTGAGTTCATCAGCAATAAAGGCACACGAGAGTGTGCATCATAATAATATGTACTGAGAATGATGGAAAATGCCCTGCATGCACGTTTGACATTCATCAACACCCTTTTGGATTACATGGGAAAAGGGTGATGTGACTGAAATCAGATCCGGAGGCCATCCGCTATGGAGTTATGCTGGCTCTAACTGACGCAAAGGAGTTTTTCCAGAGACCTCCTCCCTCTTGTGTCTGCGCAGGTATCGTATGGCAGAGAGTGCACTGACATTCGCAAGAAGAGCTGAACAATAAAAAAAGCAGATATGCGTCATTATGGATTATTATGAATCACATTCCTTAATTCTTTCTTATTTTGTTGTGATGCAGAGCTTTTTACCAGGGCAAGAGGCTTAACTTTTCCTCTGTAAAAAGCATAACATTCTAAGTAAAAAAAAAAAGTCAAAACACGCCTGAACGACTAAAGTAACACTCACAAAACCATAGCAAAGACTATGAGGATTAAAGCAATGTATGTCAAAGTAATACGTATATTCATGAAACAAATATAAATACCAGCTTTCCAGGTGTCTGCTCCTGAGCCTGTCGATTTCAGCACCCACGAGGCAAAAGCAATACAAACCAAGCACATGTCTGCCTGTTTAAGAAGCAAGAATGGGGCATCCAACCCTAGAAAAGAGGAATTAAAATTCAGAACAACAGTACAGCATCACTTAATAATCAACCAAAATAAATAAATCTACACAATTTTATTCAATAACAAACTGGCTTTTATTATAAAAGGGTTTATATAAATTAGTTTCATTATGAGTAAAACTAATTCACTGTGAGTTATACACTATTGTTTAAAAGTTTGATAAGATTGTTAATAATTTTTTAATGTCTCTTTATTTGATCATATAAATACAGTATAAACAGTAATATTGTTAAATAAATATGATTAAAACTTAAAATATCAGTATTTTGAAAACAGTCATATATAGCTGAATATTTTTTTGTGGAAATTTTGTGAATATTCTTTGAGATTTTCTTTTTTCAGGTTCCCTTTGGATTTATTTTGAACAATGAAAAAGTTCTACTTTTGATCAATTTAATGTATCCTTGCTAAGTATCATTTTGTATATAAGTGGCCTGGTGTTCCTGGAGTTTTCTCTATTTTTACTTGCACTTCAAAGTGAAACATGTTCATAAATTCTGGCACACTGCAGATTTGAGAAGCTGCCCATTATGAGTGTAGACCGATTCGCACGTACAACCATTCCTACGGCTCGGGCAAGGCTCGACATGTGACTAGATACTCTCAGTCAGCAGATATTTACTTTAAAGGAATAAGAGTTGACTAACATATGACTAACAGAAATTATTTCCGGAAAATTTCCTATGTATGCTCTCATTTTAGTGTCTCTTATGTCTGATAAAGTTTATTAAAGGGAACAAATAAACCCTTTGAGAAAGTACTAGTGTTCAGTTTCAGTGTGTGCAGAATAACGTGTAGTAGAAGTTCTTACTTGGATCAGCAACAACTGCCTGCATCTCCTTACACTTCTTCTGTCGCTCAGCCAGCTGCTGGAAGATGCAGTTCTCCAGGTTGAGGAGCAAGGAATCTGGGAAAGGGCTCCCATCAGGGCCCAAAGCATTAATTGGTTGAATGATTCCTTTGGGAAATGTCTTTACAGGGACGAGTTCCCCAGAACATGTCTTCTCTTCAGGGATGGTAAAACCTGTGCGTCGAACTCTTCTAAATGAGAGAGGGTTCGTCCAGAGGAAGTCGCTCTGATCTTCAGAATAGAAGTGCTCATACATGTCAACAGGATCATGGTTGGGAGATTTATGGTCATACTCTGTCACTACCTTGATGACCGTGTTCTCATTCTCATCATCTTCGTCCGAATTCCCAGGGGAATCTGGGAAGAAATAGTCATATGCCTCTGGAAACTGAAGGTTTCTGTTAGCCGAGCGGGAGCAAGAGAAAATGGGAACCATTTTATCTCCACCTGACTCTTCTACAATTGGACGAACAAAGCTTCCAGCATCAAACTCTGAGAAGAAATGGTCATACGTCTCAGGCACAGAAGTGCCTGTTACATCAACGTACGAAGCAGCTATGTTGTCTGCACGAGACGCACAACGCTCAGGTTCATCCTCACCGAAGAGATACTGCATTATTTCAGAAAATGTGATACCACTGGTTTCTACTTCCTCTTCATCATCAGACAAGCTCTTTGAGCCTGAAGTGTTCACATGGTAAAAAGGATCTATAAAATCATCTACCTCTGAATGGATCGAATGCATAGAGGCATTTCTCAGTATTTGCCTGATTGGTTGAGCATCTAGAGCTTGCAGGTTCTGCACGCTAATGTTCTTATACATTCTCCTGAAACACTGTTGAGCATTAGCCGTGTAGAGATGTTCAGGAAGAGTGGTTTCCGAATTTATGAACAGCATTTCTTCACCCACAACCACTGGATCTGGATCATTCTCCCACATCACACCGCAAGAGCTAGGGAACTCACACGACTCGTCCTCTTGCTTGGAAGAAACTGTGGTTTGAAGCTGTGCAAGGTCTTCGTCTAGATCAGATATGTAAGACATGTCTCCACTTAAGCGGTCCGGCTTAGAGTCGTCAGGTAGTGTAAAGTAACCAGAGTCTCCAGCATCTGTAGTGTCCGCAATGCTACCATCCTCCGGCTGGGTTAAAATACTGGTGTGCTGGGTGTTACCAATTTGCCGTATACGCAATATGTCATTGATGGTTAGCTTCTCCATTTCATTCCAGAAGGATGAGATAGCATACACAGGGCATGGAAGATGGTCTGCAGCATTAAGAGAAACACTCTCCAGATCTTTGGCTCCACTTTTCGACTCAGCTGAGGAAGTGTACTTAATTTCAGCAAGTGTGTTATGAGGCAACTCTGAAACATCTTGTGTAGGACCACTTATGTGTTCACTAGATCTGGTAGACTTGCCACAAAAGAGTTGTTCACCACTGGCCGAAACAGCAACCTTGTTAGCACTGATGTCTCTCTTATTGTCTGATTCATCTGAATTCTCTGGCTTTATGGGTGAGGCATTCACATTTAATGCCTTACTAGTCTTAGTTCTGCTTTGGATCTGACTTTCATCTGTTCCATGATAAATATTATCAGACATATGTCTCTCAGTCTTTGCATCTGTCTCACTTACAGGTATATTCACGTTTATTTCAATGGTTTGAGAGGCCGAATGGCTTTGATATTCTGAAATGTTAACTTGAATACATGCTTTCTGTTTTTGAGGAGTCTCCTGTGAACAAGTAAATGTTTCTGGACCATTTCCATCCGAACAAGATTCTACTCCATCTATGTTCTCAGTTAAAGACAACAAGCTTTCTTTGTCTGAAATTTCTACCATATTCCTTTTGCTTGACATGGTTTGTTCAGTTTTAAATACTGAACAGTCAGTATCATTTCCTAAACAGGGTAAATCTTTGTCCTCGGTCAATTTAAAAGAGACTATGGAGGAAGGAGGCTTTGTTGAATCAGCAGCAATGGAAATGTTAGAAGATAATAAGGATTTCCTCTGACATCCTGCACCAGAATTATCACTTAGAGGTGCTGATATGGTCTCTCTAATACCGGTCCAGCTCTCTAAGTTTACAGCAGGATCAAATTTAAGCATATTTAATCCACCTTCTTGTAAATTCAGAACTTTATTTATCTGGGGTAATGGAGGAATCTCTGCTTTCAATTGTCCATTGTTTACAAGAGACACATCATGCATGCTTTTGGAAATAGTATTAAAGCTTGAGTGTACAACTTCAGGCTTTGAAGGTACGGTGCCTAAATTACTGATAAAAGATACTGGCAAGCTTTTTGAAGACTTCAAATCAGCTGAAGCCTCCAAGTCAAACATGCCTCTAGGCTTTAAAAGATCAGTATTTTGAGTTGTTTTATTTCTTTTAAGTGACATGTGCTCTGTCTTCCAGACATCTGCAGGAAGGCTATTCATCTCTTCTCTCTGAATGAATCTCTCTTCCTCTGATTCACTTTGATGGATGTGGATCTGAGCCTCATATCCTGGTTCTACTTGCTCGACACTCATTCTCTTCTTCTTCCTCCTTTTTCTCCTGAGATAGGAAGGTGACACTGGGATCTGACTGATTGCACAATCTTTTGAGTCCGAACTGTTTCTGGTATCCAGCTGAGCAATATTTTGTCTTGCTGGGATTTGTTCTGTCATATCTTTCCTATTTACCATTACTATTTTCTCTTTGTTAGGTGGCTTTGTTTCAGGTTTCAGCTCTAAGTCTTTGCTAAGATCACCACATCTTCCCTGTTGCTCCTGTTTCATTCTTACTGTAATTAGGGGAGTTGACAATGACTTCCCTCCAATGAGTAGCTCAGCGTTAGACTTTGATGCATATTCTTGTGCATAAGCGGGTGCAGCTATATCACCCCAGGTATTAACCACACCCTGCTTAGTGATTTCACCTATAAGACTGGCCTCATTTCTGCCAGATGGACCAGCATCTAAAGACAGAATATCCTGCTTATCAATCAAACCCTCCAGATGGCCTGTCTCCTCACTTCCCCAATTAACAACATGGCTTTGTTCCAAGGGCTGTTCATTTTCTGTGACTCTTTTTAACTGCTCAAAGAACAGATTGACAGTCTGAAGGTGCAAGTCTTCCTCACTGCCAGAGAGAACCTGCTCTGGACTACGTATTCCGTACTTACTAAGGTAATTGTACACAGGCGAGCCCTCACAGACTGGCGGGCCATCAATCTGAAGGTCTGGATCAGGCTCTGTGTCCACAACCGGGGTCCTGTTTAAAAAGTGGCAGCCCGTCTCATCAATGTCACTCATTCCAGAGTCCTCTCGACTGGCAAGCACTGGAGAGAGCAGGTCACAGTCCCCGCACTCCTGAAAAAAACAGTCCCAGTCTCGGTCGGAGATGTGCACGCTGTATTCAAAGTCATCCATCGTGAATGAATGATACACAGACGGTTCTGAATCTACAATTTAAATTAATTAATCAGTCAGTGACATGAATAAATAGTCTGGCAAAGCAATTGCACAAAAATAGGGACATATTTGAAAATGCAAAAAGTGGATGTTTTTTTGGCATCATGGGAATGGCACAACCAGTATCAACCGAAAGGTAAGTAATCTAAACATCTATGCTAGTCTTTTTATAAACTAGGGCTATATGCTGCAACCACAAATTGTGATACAAAATCTTTTAAATCAATTTTCCAGAAACAAGTTGCACTTGTTAAAAACACAATACAAACTTCAATTGCATGCCAAATAATTGCCATTATTTGAAGCTTTAAATGTATATATTTTGTGTATTAAGTAAAAACAAAACAAATATACTGTCATATTCACATTATTTATAATGTGAATATGAATCCCACTTTATCCCACTAAGGTTAATTACAGGTAAATTAGTTACAATTTCATTACGATTTTTTACTCTATTACCATTTTTTATATTAATATAATCTAGTAATATATATTTGTAAGTTGCATAAATGCATAAAGGTGCATTAAAATAATCTGCATAGGTTTGCATATCAGGTAAAAAAAATATCTACATATCATTATAGTATAAATTAAAGGAAATTCAATCTGTTATATGGCCTCTGATGATATCAGAATCAGTAACATTGTATTGGAAAATACAATTTCAAACAAAGGAAAAATTTAGAAACTATATGTGGTAAGTGAATGACAATTAATTATGCACAATCAAGCACAACTCTTTTGGGAAAAAAAAAGCTTTTCAATTTTTCTTTATTCCATTATTGTTAAAAATGCATGGGGAACCAAGTCCACTGCATTCCTTCACATTAGAGATTTTTCTTTGGTGTGCACACTATTATCAAACTAATACTAAACTCAAAGCAGAAATGTGTACAGTACCTGTTCAATGGTGTGAAAGTGCAGAAGTCCCAGAGCAGTTAGCCTTTCACACCACTTCAGTAGTTTGAGGCATAGTGAATGAATGCCCTTTGAGTGTCCTTCCAAGTAAGACCGGTACACCACAGGCCCTATGATTTGTTATAAATAGAACAGTGTTACACATCACGTAATACACGCAGTACTCTCTCTCTCTCTCTGACACCTTTTTAGCGGGGTCCCAGGGCATGCTCCCATGTGAGATATGTTTGTGTGTTTATTTATTTTTTGCAAAAATAGTCTTTCGTGGTATCTTATCATCCACAAAGTTGGTTAATAACATAACTGCAATCAAGTAATAGCCTAGTTAACAATTACTTGTTTACATAGTATTTTATGTATTTTATATTATTTAAGCATCTGGAACTCTATCAGTATAACACAATTGTCTAATTGTCAAAGTGCCATGGGAAGCCAAACTTTACTGAACATTTTCTTAAAATTGTTTATTTCCTACTCCATAACAGTTCACCAAAGCTCTTATTGATCTTTGGCTGTCATCTCATAATATCTAACATCATTAGAATAAAACTCTTGATTCCAACTTGTACTTGCCCTTATGAAAATGTATATTGTAATCGTTTAATTGTAGCTTTTGTTACAACAAGGCTAATTACAGGTAAGATCATTCATGACTCATTACCATGCATAGGCCAATGTTTACTTTTGTTTTTGACCTATAGCATTTGTTATGAAAAATAGCAACCAACACATTTAGAAACTATAGATAGGCTACAACAACATGCCAGTTGTAATATAAATATAGTGAAAATATATATTTGTGTACTGCACAGTTATTAGCCTAGTTATTGTAACATTAAATTATGTTATAATAAAATTAATAAAGTATAAAATCTTTCCTTTCATTTTACAGTGACATCTCAGCCTTTCACAATACAAATTATATTGTACAATACCAAATTGTACGCTTTTGGTACAGGTTTAGTGAGGAAGCCAAAGTATTGCATTGCCTGAAGTCAAAAGGTTTAATCAGCTGACTGCGGAGGACTCTCAAACTGGATGTCATATGATTGTGTCTGTAGCCAGCGTTCTGCTGTGATAGCATGTGTGTATGCAGGATCTTCTTTCCCACTGCTTAGAAACAAGCCATGGCAAATGCCACTCAAGGTATTAATGTCAAAGTCAGAACACATTCACATTTTGATCATTTGACCCAGCCGTGATGGTCTGACTCCTCACCAGTGCTTAAAATATGCGCTGCATATTTTGCAATGACAGTATAGAAAAAGACACTAGGAAACCAGATCATGCTTTTGCAACAAATCCACCTAGAAGTAACATTTTACAATGATTTCTATTTGAGCAAATAACGTGAATATAGGTATCATTTGTACAAAATTGCTCCTGTTGGCTCCTGTCCAGTCCAAGGCTGTATGGCAAATGGGGTCCGAGATCATGTTTAGAGATATCAAGATTATAAATGTAGACAGTAGGATGAACTAATCTGCCCAATTTGCGAAGTGCTATTAAGTCATTATGATATTAAGATAACACGTCATTATCTACACAGATCTAATCGGTGTCTCATGCCTTCTGCTCTTCCTTCATTCACAAAAGTCTGCACAAACTTGTCATTTTATCATTGTTTTACATGTTATATTGCAAAAATGAAACGTGAGAACCAAAGACTCTGCATCAAATAACAAGTCGGTGAAGCCCCTTATCTTTCACAGAAGGAATGTTATTTGAGTCTTTCTGAAGTGAGAAGTTTGCTTGACATTCAGGCCAACAAAACCCACTTTGCATTCAGTCTTTTAATTATTCATGACCTTTATACATTTGATTCTGGCTTCTGTGGGAAAACATTCCCCCCACCAATTAACCAACCACAGACCGGGCGCACTGCCCAGTGAGGTCCTACACTATCAATTCATCAGAGCTTTACTGAGACAGAGGGCCGAAAGCCTTGTCTTGTGAGTTTACTGCACCTGGGGCGGTGGGCTGTCTGAACGCGGGTGGGATTCTGTTTTCATCAACAGGATTAAGCCCAATAAATCCGTTTCTGGGATTAAGATTGGGATCTGTTTGGACTACTTAGCGGTGGCTAATACAGTGGTGTTTCTTCTCTAATTGTTCTGCTGTTTCAGCTGCAACTATTCATCCCATGACTTTTCAATCCCTTGTAAATAGAAACACCCAGGTCAAGTGACAGTTTATCAACAAAGCATGGCATGGCATCTCCTCTTCAGTTACGCATGTGACAAAAGACAGTGTTATGTATTTCTTCAAAAAAAAAGAAAAAAAAGACAATTTAATTCATGCTTGTCTATTCTGGAAGCTTTGTCAATGGTGTCATAGTTGCTACATATGCTAAATATCTTGAGTTTAATTTAAGTAGCTTTTCGGGAACTTGGTCTGTGTCTCTGATAGGCTAACTAGTTTACTGAACAACTAACGTTACATATCCTCGTTTGGGATTTTGCAAGAAGAACTGAAGCTGTATTGGCCAGAAAAGGAGGCCCTTCACCATACTAATAAATGATTGTAGTCTAAAACCATGGGGTTTTACCCATTAAAATTAACCTTTTGTCCCACCTGCCAAAAGTGATAGAACTGTAATCATTAGATACCGATCATAGCAGTCTATTTTAATAATTTGTATAAAACAAACTTAACTTTTGTCTCGGTGACAATAGAAATGCCGTCATGGAATTTAGAGGTTCACCATGTATAAACTGTACGCATTGTGCACATACATCCCACCCTGCAAAAACTCCCAATTAACACTTTTTTTATACAATTATTTTCATTCGCATAAGCCGCCTAACACGGGTTCGTTCCTTCAATAGTGTTTGTGAGCCGAGAGTGGTGTAGTTGAGTGTGATACAAAAAAGGCAAGGGTCTCCACAAAATCTGCAAGTGGTCACAGAAGAAGCATTTGAAACGTGTAATAATACTGTGTAATGGTAAAGCGTCTTGGCTAACCACTTGTGATCGGTTCACCAAAATAGAAATGGCTTCCTCTCTAGCTTTATTGGCTGCATTTAACAAGTGATAGTCACATGACAAATATTCCAGGAACTAAGCAATCACATAAAGGAAAGATGGCAGCCGTTGGGTTGTGCTGCACTTCCTCCAGTTATTACAAAAATGTTGCAGTTCCTATAAAGTCACCAGTTAACAACTTGCTTGCCAAAAACAAATGTGCCTGCCTGCATAATTTATGTCTTCAAATACAATTGTTTGTGTGAGTAAATCTTATCTTACACAATCAACGAGCACATTCTCCTGTAGAAGAAATAAGAGAAAAGTTACCTCAGGTGGGCCTACTCGTCATTCCCTGTTAGCTGGCCTAAAAACGTTAGCGTACATGTCGACAGATTCTGTCAACATAGACTGTATTGTGAGAATGTGCCCCACTTTGTCCTGTCGTTATCTTTACCTGTGAGCCGGGGGCACTAGAAAGTATTTACTGACTGTAGACAATGAGGGAATTTGACGGGCCGGTGCTCGGAACTCATCCATGCACGCGGGAGCAGATGACAACAAATGCGCATTGTCTCGTGAAAGCACCTGAGCTCGCTGTGATAGCGGTCACCAGGCACACTGAAGACTACCTCAGCCGTGCTTTACTCAATCCCATTATTTACAGAAGGTTGAATGCCCTTTAAGGAGGATAGAAACTGCTCATTTAAGCTTCTCAGTTATAGGTTTACTTGTTGATTGACTGGATTTGCGACACGAGTGTCAAGTTCCGACTAAGCGCACACGCTAGGCTACTCAACATAAAATTACTTGATAATAAAATTATACTTGATAATTGAATATTAATATTCGTGTATGTGTTCGTATTTTTCTTTATTTTTTCATGTTATTGGAGGAAAAAATAAATAAATCGAACATTTCAAACGCAGCCTAGATTTTTTTGTGTGTGTGTGTGTGGAATTCATCTTTCCCCCTGACTAAATAAACATTTTTAATGCTTTAATAAATGGGTAACACTTTACAATAAGGTTTCATTAGTTAACATTAGTTAACAGTTAACATGAACTATAGCATGAACTGTAGCCTACTTCTACAGCATTTATTAATCTTTGTAATGTTATTTTCAACATCTAGCCTACTAATACATTATTAAAATCAAAAGTTGTATTTGTTAACATTATGTTTATTTTGTTAACATTTGTTTACATTGATGCACTGTGAAGAACAAACAATGAACAGCTGTAGTTTTTTAATTAACTAACAGGCTACTATGACAAATTGCTCATCGTGTTAGTTAATACATTAATTAATGTTAACAAATGAAACCTTTTTGTAAAGTGTTACCTATAAATGGAACCTTAATTTCCATTTTCCAATTGGCCTAATTTTTGTATGCTATTGCCTATTGCCCGGTAAATAGGCCTACTGTTCACTGTTGGCCACAAGGTGGCAGCCGAGAATAATCTTACAGCAGAGGATAAAGAAGATCGCTTTGGTGTTCACCATATTTCGCTTTTTCTGTTCCCTGACAACATTTATCATGTAACTTTTATTTGTAATGCATGTAAATAATACCACCATGTACGTTACACATTTTATCTAACTTAATTTCTTGTTATTATCACCAGTTATGCATTTTATGTAGGAATTTATGCCATTTAGTTTATTAACTTTTATTTCAATTACACTGAATTGCATTATTTATTTTTTACATAAAATAAACTAATTTTATATTTTATTATCTCTCCGGTAGGCCTTGTTTAAAGACAGTTTAATGTTTTTCCTCCTTTCAAGTATAAGGCAACATTCTGCAAGACATATATACAGTAGTTATCAGTAATGTTTTTACACAAAGCTCTATGTCTTTACATTAAGTACAGAATACAAAAGATAAATACAGCCGACTTTCTCTGACTCATACGTCTGGCTGTGGTCCACAATGAGCAGTAGGCCTATCTCACTCAGCAGAGGGCAGGCATGTGCTCCCCTCTTCCAGGCCTGAGGGAGGCTTCAAGGAAGGGTCTCAGACCACAGCCTTCCTCTTCAAGATGAGTCATTTCTGAAGCATTAAAGGTCATACAGGCAGGAATAGGATGAGTGTTATTTTTAGTTTAATAACCCACCTCCATTGTCCTATCCTGTTACA